TTAATTACCGTATGTACCCATTATGGCAACTGAATTTAAGTTCCTTAGCAGCATCCTAGCTTAAGCTGAGGGCATTTCTGGGGGTGTGCAGTCAAAAGGGGTCCCACGTTGGCAGTCTGCCTACATACTTTTGGAGTGTGATGGTTTTCTTTTTTGATTTTGGAAGATGGTTTCACGGGACTTGGGCCTAATTTAGCCGCCGCTTGAGGATCTTACGTTTTCCACGCTGTTTCTGGCGGGTAAGGAAGCGCCTACCTTTTAAGGAATCGTCATTGTAGTAGAGCCCCATGGAACTATTGAGCATACTGCTTTTCATTGTAGGTCTAAAGGGATTGCAGGATAGGGGTGCGCCTGCTGTCTCGGGAAGGCTAGTTCCTAGCTCCGACCCACCTCCTTGCCATCTTCATGAACAGCAAATTGGTAGCTTCTCCAAATGGACTTCAATATAACCCCCAATAGGCCCAATAGTAGTTTTCCACTTTGTTTTCCATTATCCGTATATTACCCTATATCCCCCAATATAACCCCCATAACCCAGTCCTTCTTGCAGGGACCCCCGAAAAGGTACCCCAGAACCCCGGCAGCATCGGCAGGAAGCTTTCACGGAAATTGACAGCTACGTTTCCAAGGCCTGCTGAGACTTTGACTGGTTTAGGAAAACATAGTTCAGGGTTCAATCTCATTTCGAATCGCATGATCCTAGTAAGCATCCTGCGCATCTCTGCTAGAGGATGATGTCCAACTTGCTTAGGGACCCTAAACCCTAAACCCTTATCCTTGTCAAGTCCGGCTCCTTCCACTCCCCGTCTGCCTCTTCCTGCCTTGTGGAGGTTACTCGGCCGCTGAACCTATCTGAATGGTCTGCAGCTTTGGCCACTCTGGGCGCCTTTGCGGCAGAGTAGCTCCTCGTTGCCCTAAAGGGTCCAAGTACCTAATCATTCAGTACTTGGGCTCTGAGTAATTGTAAATGTTGTGCAAGGTTTGGGTAAATATGTGGTGACCTTGTTACTGTAAGTACTTGGACCCTTAGGCTTTTTCCAAATAGTACGGCCTTAATACTAAAAGCGCCGAAGCCGTAGCCCTTCAAGCAGCTTCGAAAACCATCCAAAACCTATTGCATCTCGCTCACAGTCTTCTTCAATGGCTTAGCTCTAGAGTGCTGAGAACATGGCATGACATGGAGCATATGACTCGCTAGCTTCGGGATGTTTCGGTGTGTTCCGGCCCTACTGATTGGCACTAGGAATCTTCCAGCGTTGTGGAAGAGGGTATATTATAGGAATACTGGAGAATCAAATGGAAAAGAGAATGGGACAGGAAACGGAAACTCTAGTTATTTGGGATAACTATATATGTATATACATATATGTATATACACACACACATATAACCCTAGACTCTAAACCTTCACACATATATATATATATATGAGTTCCGTGCATGATGATGGTGCTAGCTGTGGCTGTCCTGGCAATAGCATGAAATGCAACGGATTGACATAATCGTGCAATGACCATGGTGAGCCACGAGCCAAGTACTCCCAAAGTCAATCCCGGTGATCTCCCCCACACTTGCGAGGGTTTAGGGTTTAGGGTTCAGGTCATAGACTCATAGACCTCAAAAAGGAAAGTTTGAATCCTATACTGCTGAAGCCTGAAGCCGAACAGCTAAGATCACACGCTTAGCACTAAGGACTTGCTACCCAAGCCAACGCTCGCATCATCTACGACTCCTGGCATTTCTTTAGCATTCTGCACAACTTTATCTGAAGCCAAGTGCTTTAAGGGTCAAGCTAGTGAGTGGGGACCATTCAAGGAGTTGTGGTTTGGGATGTGGGGTTTCTGGCCAATCAGACAGCTATAAGTTTCATTTCTTGTTCTGGTCCGCATGCAAGGAAACAGTTGCCCTTTCGTTTGAGATGCATCTTTTCGTTTTGGCCAGGAACTCGAAGCAAGATTCCTACGGACTTCAATGCAAGTTTCATCCCAGAAGCCATTGTGCATGTGTCCTTCTGTAGTTCAGGGCATGCTGCAGAACTCAACCTAGCATGCGTTCCAAAAATTCGGGGCCCGGCTTCGGGGTCCTTATGATAGTCCTGGGGATCTACCTGATGTCTACCTATGAGTCTTCAACTTTTTTTGGATGCAAGCATAGCCCTGTGAGTACCCAGCATTCCTGACGCGAAAAAAGGACCTGTTAGACGAGAACAAGGCAGGTCATTTGCAGCAGTGTCTAGAGTTTCAGGTCTTAGGGTTTAGGGTTGCGGGCTTAGGCTCGCGAGCTTGATTAGGGCTTGCGGCCAATTGTTTAGGGCTTTAGGGTGCATGTTTGAATGCGAGCAAGAGAGTGAGAAAGAGAGAGAGAGAGAGTTTCTAGGGTGCAACGTTGTTTTAGAGAGCACCGACGTCTGACTCAAGGCCCCTTGCCGTACACACACACACACACACGCGCACACACACACACACACGGATGCACTTAGCTGCCATTTGTTTGTCTAAATTCTGCGGGTTCATCAGAACCACCAACCAACCACCAGGCACTTACTTAGTAACAACTTGGACATGTGATATGTTTCAGGGGTAATTAAGGTTTAGGTTTTAGAATTTAGGGTTTAATGTGGCACCCTTTTTA